CAGCAATTCAATGGTTTCATCAAACCATAATTGAAATGGAAAATCTTTCAATAAATTGGCACATTTTGAGTTATGCACACACTTGTTCTTACATGGATGGGCGATGTGATGGGAAAAACCTATCTTTGAGTGTAACATCATCAGAGCTATTTTCTTATTGCCACTGCTTGCCTCAGTAACAACAGTAATAGGGAAGAAAGGTGTCCTAGAAAATCTGGTTTCCCAATAAATGTCACAATTATAGAGCTCCCTATTTAAAGCTGCAGTATGTATCCAGGGACATTTTTACACAGGCGTAATTTCAATTTACACTTTGTCTGTATGAAGTTGGGTGAGAAAAATGTTCATAAAAAATCTTTTCACATTTACATGAAAATCTAGTAGTTTCCTAACATAATGTTCCACAGAATTTTTGATGAGAATATTCAACCAAAATTAAAAGATAATTAACATTTACAGGAGTATCTTCTATGCAGCAAAAGCATTATCTAAGTATTTTTAAAATAGAAATATGCCATAGCTCAGGGCCATTTTTAAAACTGTGAGAGATCTATTAATGGACGAAAGGGAAAGACAAACCACATGCTGAGCACATGCTTGATCGTCTGTGCAATTTATTGTGAAGTGCCACTTGTACTAGGCCTGCCACAGAGCCATTGGTTTGAAAGGTTAATGACTGCAGCAATCACAATTTCAATTTACAAGAAATGGGATGACAGGAAGCCAAATACAAAATGGAGAGCTCCCACGTGATGGCAGCTGAGCAACAGTTCATCAACAACAGTGCAGTAATACCGTAAAACCAGAGTGCTGGGTGCAACCTTTTGAGTCTGCGGAGGGCTTAGGACTTCTGTTAAGCTCATTTTTCAAGGATAATATAAAAGCTTTAAAATGGCTAAATTACTAAATACAGGCATAAGTTCTCCCCTGGTGTTTCTCCTTAAAATAGTTGTTAGGTCATCTGAAGGCTCTTTTCCCCACCTCATTGTGTTTTCTTTAGTATATCTCCTCTTGTTTTTCAAATGATGACCTTGGCTGCTACCAAAACAACCATTCTAGAGATGGGCAATTTCAGTATTCTTTGGGCCGTCTCTGCAATTATATTCTACTTCTTGCTTCCTAGACCATCGGCTATACTACGCTGCAGTCTGAGAGGCTCTGCAAAACTTTCAGGTACGCATATACAGAGACACTACCTGGGAATCTGTGCTCCCACTGCCTTAACCACTGGCTGGCTTTGGAGTGTAATTTTCTGCACTGGTGAATCAAATCAATGAAAACATCTCTAAAAATGTACTTTTTAAATTTTTATTTAAGTAAAAAGCATACACTAAATGAAATGTTGTAAATGTCACTTACACTGCAGAAGCACAATAATACTTTTTTTCTTATTTGAAGTCAAGCAGAAGTATAAGTAACTTACAGTCATAAATACCAAATAACTGAATGTAAGCTGTGCGAAGTTCTGGTCATATCCATCTCGGAACAGATACGGTAAAACTAGAAGGGGTTCAGGGAAGTCAATAGGCTGGAATGGGTTCCCTAATATGGGAGATAATACAGACAAAAACTTTCAGGTAGGAAAAGAAGAGACTAAGTAGGAAAAGTGCTAGAAGTATGTAAAATAGTGAATGCCCTGGGGAAAATGAATAAGGTAATGGTTATTCATTATCATTTTCTCATAGAAGTATGAGAATGAAAGGCAGCAGGTTTGAGATGGAAATCAGTTATTTTTCACAGAAGGCATAATTAAAGAATGGAGTTAATTTCTCACAGGATGCTGTGGATGTCAAAAACCCCTCATGGGTTCAGAAAGTAATTATGAAAGTTTATGGGAAAAAAGTTGGCAAAAGTATGTAAAACACAAAGACGCAGCTGCAACTTTCAGCATAGGAAGTACTTCAGTAGCAGAACGCGGGGTGACCCCTAGCACTAAGTATTGGTGGAATTATTGCTGTATACTTCCCTTACTCTTATACTCTTT